GGATTACAGGCTTGAGCAGCATAATCTCTTTTAATCATCATAATGCTCAGGTCCCCTGATTCCAGGTTCCATGCTTATACCCTCAAATCATTTGGTAAAACAAACGTTAAATTATTACAATTTAGCAGGACTACCAGTAAAAGAAATGTATTTTTAACTACATTATTTCATTACTTATTTAAAAAAAAAAAAGGAAAGCAAATAAATAGCACATTCAAAGCATTTACCTTTCCTGGGGGAAAAAAAATTGCAGTCCCAGTCTTTCATATGTTTAGTTTCAACAATTTTGGGATCACGATGCAATGATATAAATAAAATGTCTCTCAACTCAGAGATTCTACCCCTGAGGAATGAAGGTCGCTTGAAACTGATTCATTTTTCCCAACCCATTTTAGGGAATTGCACAATAAATCAATTATATTATTTGACATTGTTTTTTATTCAGAGGAATAACATATGCAACATTCCCCTCGAGGTATTAATACTCTAGAGCACTTATCTTGAATCCAATCACATAGCCCCAAACCTCAAATCTCCTGACTCTTGGTAAAGACTTATTCACATCAGGTGTTTCTTCTTGGACTGAGATTTGTAAATTGATGAAAATATAAATGTAATTTAATCTAAAACAAACAATTCAATCATACCTGATCAGCATGTATTGCTATAAAGCCAGGGAATCAAATAATGAGACATGAATCTCTAAGTGAATCTTCAAACTTGAGAGAGAAAACACACTTCAGAGTGTGGGAGCCGCTATGATGAAAGCAGATCTGGAGTGCTGGGAGCACAGAGAATGCTGGAATTTAGTGGATCCGGGGGAATCATGACCCTAAGGAAGCGGACTTGAAAGAATTAGAAACTTTAACAGACAGATATGGAAGAAGGGCAATAACACAAATGGAAGGAAATTATTTACTTTTAGGAAACTAGGGTATGAGAGAGGAAGAGAAAATAAAGGCCTGGAAAGGAAATTGGCACTTGGTTTTGGAGACCATTTTTTGTGTAGAAAACGGGCAGTCCTTATCTGGGCTCTGGAAACATTATTCGCTGAAGACTGAATTTGGATAAATGAATAAATCACTTGTTAGTCTCAGTGGAGTTTACTGCCACTTACTATGTACCAGGTACTTTTCCAGGTTTATATCTATTTATCCATTTAATCCTCATGACAATTCTACAAGGAAATTTCTATCAGTATCCCCATTCCACAGATGAGAAAGCTGAGACACCTAATGTTTAGTAACTTGCCCCAGCTCAGTGAGCTGAAATGGGGGAGAACAAGGATTCAACCTAGGTCAAAGCCCTATTGTAAGTTAGGCTGCTTAACTTTCACTGCGTGTCTCTACTGAAGATCAGAGGAGGAGCAAGAGAGTGGGCTACCAGGGATGGATTGGATTGATGATTGAATATGGAGATAAAGAGAGAATGTTAGGTCAAAATTAAATGATGCTGTTAGTGAAGTTACGAAAAAACGAAGTCATGTTTGGATACCACGATAAGATGTTGTGCATATGTGAACTTGTGACCTCGACCTATCAGGTATCTTAATCTATCAGGGAGTTGCGGAGTTTAGATCACTGAGCTCAGCTTAGCCCAGAAGAGACTATGGGTCCGGAGTGCGAGCACTTGCCTCATCGCCACTTAATAGATGAAAAAAAAGAAAAAGAGAAGTCAAGTATTGTACGAGATACAAACTAAGTATCTTCATGCCAACACGATTTTGAAAATACAAAAAGATTAATGTCCTAAACTCTCACCAACCCAAGTGTTTCTTATGGTTTTCGGGGCTTTTTTTTTTTTGAGATCGGAGTCTCACTCTGCTGGCCCCAGCGCTGGATTGCAGTGCGCACAGATCTCGGCTCACTTGCGCTCCCGGTCGACGCCATTCCTCACTGCCTCAGCTACTGGAGTAGCTGGGACTACAGACGCCCGCCACCATGCCTAGGCAATTTTTTTTTTTATTTTTAGTACAGCTCGGGTTATCACCGTGGGTTTACCCAGGATGACCTGATCTCCTGACCCGCCCGCCTCGGCCCTCCCAAGACGGTGCTGGGATTATAGGCGTGGAGCCACTGTGCCCAGCCAAAGTCCAGACACACGTAATGGAAGATACAGTACTATTCCTTTGTCACAACAGCCCGACAGCACTAATATAACAATGCCTGTCCTCATAATAAAAAGACAACGAATAACAAGAGAATTCTTGCATTATTTGAGCTTAAAATACCCAAATAAATAAGATAATTATAAAACATATAATGGCAATAACTATAGATATAAATAGATTAAATAATATATTGAAGACCTTATTAACAATATATCTAGCACAGGCATGTGTCTACTGCCCCACCTGGCTCTGCCTAAATACCGACGGAATTACAACACATCTATGCCAAGCTCTTTAATTACTACCAGAAAAAGAAACGACACTGAAATATAGAAACTGACTTTAAATACTTCTGGTTATTTATTACACTAACGATCTATGAGCACCAGATATCTATGAAATAAATATATACAACATACAGAAGAAGAGAAACATATGACATACAGAACCCCCACGACCATCACCAACACGACACATACTCAACACAGGCCGCTCAAAGTACACTAGTCTTCCCTTACCTGCTGCATAGCACACATCACTCACACACACCCATCCCAGGTACAACCGGAGAGGAGGCAAAAGACCTACAGTAGCGCTACACAGACAAGACACCTGACAAATACATACTGGAACCCCCCACGGTTTTTGGAAGAGCAGTCTGCTTTGAATGAGACGAGAGCTTGAATTCCCTTTGGCTACTCATCAGCTGGTGGACGCCTATGGCAAACTCAAATTCAGTTCCTCATCAGTAAAAGAGGCTTCATCTCCAAACCCACTGTTTTGGTCAGGAGAAAAAAAAAGAATATAGATAATAAAATTTATCCATTAGGATCTCAACTTACAACAGAGGATGCATGCAAAATAGGAAAATTCCAGGAGATTTTTAGTAAGCTATATACAAAAGTACAGAGGCAGAGAAAAACAAAAGGAATAAAACATATGAAGGGAGAGTTGCTATAACCCAACCAGAGAGAAAAAGGCAGAGTTATTTGCCTTTAAAAGAACAGTGACTTTTTGCAGAAGAAGCCAAGCAAATGAATACTCCGACCTCACTCTCTTCTCCCTCTGATCTCCAACCAAGCCTCAGCTAGAGGACATCAGAGCCCACTTGATTTAGCTCTTGCAGATCAGCCTCAAGGGAAGATGGAAGGGTGCAGGACAGAGAATAGATCTAAAGGAGCAAAAGAAAACTTACCACCACATAATAATAGTTCATAATTATTGAGCGTTTTCTGTGTAACAGACACAAATACCTTATTTGTGTCAACTCATTTAAACCAAATAATCTTATAAGGCAAATATTACTTCCCCATTTTAGAGATGAGGAACGTGAGACTGGCTGTGTGTAGTTAAGTAACTTCCTGAAAGCCTCAGGACTAAGGATGGAAGCAGGAATTGAATCAAGATAATGTGTACTATAGCCAATTATTGTCAAACATCAGTTAGTGGTAGTAATTGGTTTCTTAATTATCATCACTATCATAAAAACTATTTAATCCCAACTAATTATATTTCCAGGGGTTTAACTCAATTATAATACTGCAAATGTATAATAAGGTATGTTCAATATGCTATTTGTAACACTGTATTGGCAAAATACACACAAAATTTAAATGCCTAATGTTGGGGCTCAGAAACCAATACCACAAAATGTGACATTTTGACATGCTGAAATGAAGAAGCCTCAAATTTTCTTTGACCTTCCTTCACCAATCCTCTCTTTCCCAAAGCACAGGATGAAGGTGTTCTCTGAAGTTCCCTTATCTGCCTAAAGTCTCGACTTGCCAAAGAAGAAAACAGTTACCTCTGGTCGCTTCCCCGACTTTCCACAAACTGAACTCATATTGCAGAAAGAAAAACTGAAGTCTGTCAACACACATGGACAGACTTTTGTCACAAACCACTGTCTGCTCTGCAGGCTTAACAGAGTTTCTCTCAGGCCATTGTATGTTCTTCAAACCCATTGAATTCCCCTAAAAATCATTTTCTAACTCCCCAAATCACCCATACATCACCCATCTGCCTTTCCTCTAGTAAGGATGTACAACCATCTGTACCTCATTGGGATATTGGGCAATCACTCTGTGATTCTCCCCCATGTCTGTTGATAAATTTATATGCCATTTGTCCTGTTAATCTGCCTTTTGTGACTTGATTTTTCAGTGAAGCTTCAGAGGGCAGACAGGAAGTTTTCCCTTGGCCCCTACACTATGAACTAAGATAGACAAAATAAATTAGTATGTTTATAAGGTAGAATACCATGTGGTCAGTAAAAACTGGTAGCTCTATGAGTACTGTGTGTTGATACACAGACACAGACACACACACAAACACACACACGGTGGGGGAATTCAGAAAGGTTATATGTTACATTTTCTGTTAAAAATTTAAAATAACTACATTATCTATATTCTTGTTAACAAAATTTGAGTGTCTGGAAAAATACATAAGACACTGGTAACGTAATTGTCTTTGGGGAAAGCAACTGGGTGGCAGGGTGAAATGGAGATAATTTTTTATTGCACACATTTTGTGCTTTTAATTTTTTTACCATGGTCATGTAATAACCTATGAAAAACATAATTTAATTAAGGAAAAAAATCTAATTTTGCATTATTATTGACGTTCCAGGGATTCATGTAATTTTAGAAATTGAATGAAAACAATTTTACGTGCATGAAATTCAGCTTTCTTACTCTATACATACTGAGTGATTTGCTTTTTTCAGTAATAAAATCCTTTACTATACCAGCTTGTTAAATGAATGCCAAATCAAGAGTAAATTTTCCATATGGAACACTAAAAATTCCATATGGAACACTAAAAATTCCATAGTGTTTTAGCCATCCTGCAAAAGCAAAACCTGTAGGTAAAACAATGAGAAAATTTTCACCTTGAAACTAGGTAACAGGTAACCCAGAAGACTGGCCAAGCATAAAATTACAGCCACAAACAGCCCTGCAGAGAACATCTCAGGAGGGCGGCTGCTGGGTTTTTGTTGTTTTGTTGTTGTTTTCATCTTTCTTGGCCAAAGGAAGCAGGTGGTAAGAGAACTCAACCACAGCTCCTGAACTCCTTGAGATTTACAGAGCTCTGTCACCTGGGGTAAGACTGTCATTCTTCCAGGTTTTCTTCCTGTCCAAGAAAACGGACATGGTGTTTTTCATGGTATTTTCAAACTGGAAGATCAAGACAGAAACTTTGGTCATCAGGAATGGAGAGATTGCCCAATGAAATGACAGAATTGATCATTAGGATGTTTGTTACTCAAAAAGCCAATTTTTTAAAGAAGGATGCATTAAAATAATTCAACATGCTAATATGGCACACTCCTCTGCTGCCTAACGGCAAGTGTTGCTATTAGCAGAGGAAGATTTGTTCTAGGAAAGAAGTATTCTAGAGGGCCAGAAAGAACAGGTATTGCTCCACCCGGGTAAACGCTGACTCAACTCTGTAGGGCTGGCACGCTCTTTCCTCACCTCACCCCTCCTGCCAAGAACAACTGAGATCCAGAAATAACAGAATTAGCGAGAGAAGGGGAAATATGCAGGACGGTGATGATGAGTATGCACGAGGGAGTGCCAGGCAGTTTTAATCGTTAATGTTCTCCGTCTATTGCTAGAGAAAATGTCTTTCCTTGGAGGAGGCATTGGCACGAGTTACTATAAACTCCCTCTGAATCTCAACACTTCTGGGACGCCGATTCTGCTCCTGGCCTGGGGCAGGGCGTGGGAGCTTGGAAGCCAGCGCTGCGCTCCCCGTGGGAAGCGATCGCCTACTCCATCAACTCGCGCCCGGGCACTTATCCCCTCCCGTTTCAGGGCGCCGCCTCCCCGGATGGCAAACCCTATAAAGTGGCGGCGAATAAGGTTCCTCCTGCTGCTCTGGGTTTAGTCCAGCTACAAGGTCAGCGAGATCCCGCGCCCCCCGGAGCATCGCGTGCAGGAGCCATGGCACAGGAGCTATACCACGAGGAGTTCGCCCGGGCTGGCAAGCAGGCGGGACTGCAGGTCTGGAGGATTGAGAAGCTGGAGCTGGTGCCCGTGCCCCAGAGCGCTCACGGAGACTTCTACGTCGGGGATGCCTACCTGGTGCTGCATACGGCCAAGACTAGCCGAGGCTTCACCTACCGCCTGCACTTCTGGCTCGGTAAGGGACGGCGGGCGGCGGGACCCCGACGCGCCAAGGCGGGCGAGGGGAGGACGTAGGGGTCCGAGATTTGCAGACGTGGGAGCAAAGGGGACCGCAAACTGAGCTAGACTGGAGACCTGTCGGGCGGCCCTTTGCGGCCGGCCACTTTCTCCCCGCCGAAGTCAACTTGCCTGCTGCAAACGCGAGGCTCTGGCGTTGTCAGCAATTGACTTACCCCACAGGCTTTGACCTTTGCCAGGTGTCGTTCCGGGACTTTGGAGCTGGTGACTCTGGCTTCTTCCCCTTTCACCTTCAAGTCTCCAAACGTCACTCTTGTCCAGGGGCTCTGCCTCCGCGCACGCCGTCTTCTGGCCAAGCCCTGCACACCTTCCGACAAGCTCAGTCCTGCTTTCCCCGTCGGGATGGAGAGGAAGTCATAAAGTTTGGGTGCATCTGCCGCCGCTAGGGAGAAGTCTTTTTCTTTTCCTTCACACATTATTTCTGTTTGTTGCTTTCGGGCACTGACTTATTTTCTCTATGATTGCGGGGATTATTGTTCTGGGCCTCTTTAAAATAGGATTCTACCCGCACCACGCTGCTTGCGGGTCTGGTAGACAAAAACTCCGCTTCATTAGGAAGCTAACGCCCTCAGATGGAAGCGAGAAAAATATACAGATATTTTATATATAAATAAATAGTTCTTTATGGGTATTTCACATATTTATGTAGATAGACTGCTTTATTGTTATTATTTATTATTTATTTTAGCAAGGACACAAGATGGAACAGAAACGGTTCCTTCAGCAGTAGTAATTATTTTGAGCTGCATTCGTGCCAGGCTGTCAGGACACTGGGCCTTGTGTGTTCCTTTTCCACCTTCTACTTTTACTCATAAACATCCTGAATGTCCACCCTCTCCCCAGGAGGTCTTGTGCCAGTGGGCACACCCTGTCTAACAACATGCCTATTCTCTGAGCCTTTTTGCCTTCTTTTAAAACTAGCTAGCCTGCCCAGTACTCGTGTTTGTTTAGTTTTATCCCTGAGCTTAGGAGGAAAACACACAAAACCACACACACGCATACACATTTTTAAGTCCCTGAAAGCCAACATTGTAATTTCTAACACTTGAAGATTTTAAGAAATGAAATAGTAGAAAACATGGAATAGTGACTGTCTAAACACTGGCAAACACCTGGAACAGGCATTTGAGAAATGAGAAATGAAAAATATGTAGATGAAGACAAGACTTCTAATTATAACATTTGGAGTCAAAAATTTGTGTTAGTTTGAGAAGGCGGAGAAGGCTCAGCCTGAGTTCTAAACACATTTTGGTTTCTTGCTGCATTGCTGTTATTCCTATTATAATGCTGTAATACACTGTCATCTATTTGTATTTTGTGCCAGGAAACACTGAAACTTTAACATATAACCCATGTTCAAGAATGAATGATGCCAGATAGAATAATGATGTCCTTACAGAGGACTTTCTATGCAGAACATAAATCTAATATGAATGAAAGTGTTTGAAATGCCACATTTCCCATTTGAATAAATTAAAATGTGAAATCATTCCATATCTTACTGTAGACAGCAGTTAAGTTTGACTTTGTCAGACGACCGCAAGGGAGATTTGAACACAGTTCTTTAATTCTATACATTTTTATCCAAGTTGACTTAACTACTAAGTTTTGTAGGGTTTATAGATTCACCTTATTCAGTTAATTATCTGCTTAATTATCCACTTGGTGCTCATAAATTTCAAAAATATAATAAAAAATGCTTTGGGCAGAAACATTTATATTCTTAAAGACGTGCTAAAACTGGTCAATAACGTTAATAACAAGCGAATTCATTCAGTAATTATTCAATACGGCCAGTACTGTACAAGGCACTTGTAGATATGAATAATTAATGAACCTTCTCTGAAAGTTCATCACCTCAAAGGTGCAAAAAGACAAAAAGTGATATAACACAGGTAGAATGTGATAGTTACTGTGAAAGCACAAAGTGTCTGTGGTTATAGGGAAACAGAAGCCTTTACGGAAAAAAAAAAAAAAAAGAGTGAGAGTACTTGGAAGGGTTTTTGTGTCAAGAGAGAATCACGGAGAGGAAAAAAGCTTCAAGTAAAATAGTCAACAGGACCTTCAGATGGGATTGCCCAACAGTTCTTCCTACTTCAGTTCCCTAAGAAAACAGAATTTCATCCAGAATAGTGTAGTCTAAGACCTAAATTAGGATGAATCCATGAGGATTCATCAGAGAGACAGATTGAGAGAAAGTCCCAGGAGAGAGAGCTGAACATCCAGGGGAAAAGAACATTTGGTTAAAGGGAATCAGCTGGAAGGAAGAGAAACTAAAGTTAAACTGAGATGAAAAAAGGTGCGTAGCATAGAAATGAAGAAACAGGCCAAATGGGAGGCAGAAAGGGGAAACAGAAAGAAGTTGGACCTAAAATGAGAGAGAAGAGAGGGAGAGTCGTCTTTCCTGGTCTCTCCTTCCATGTTTCCATAACACTCGGCATATCTCAGATTATTTTATTGTATTAATATTACGTGCTTAAATGTATTAACATCATATGCTTAAATGTAATGAAAGTAAAAATTTATTGCAAAGAACTTAAATGTTATTGCATTAGCCCTTCTTTAAAAACATTTCAGCTTTGCACCTAACAGTTTAAATGCATCCATCCACCTTCTGTTTCTAGTTCCTTATAGCACCAAATGAATAGGTAGGTCTAGATAGTAAAACTGCTCCCTGTCACATCCCTAACCTAAGCTACAAACACTTATCCTCATTCTTTCTGTTTGCCAGTTTTAAACTTTACCCAAATATATTTTAAAGCAGTATGCATTTATGTTATAAGTGGGCTGTATCAGGCCTTGTGCCCTGAGAATCCAAAGGATTGGATTACAATATACGATACAAAGAACTTATATGAAGGACTGGCTAGGACGCTGAGAAACTGGATCATTTACATTGCTGGGGCATGGGGATGGGTACGTGCAATGGTACAGCACTCTGGAAAAGAGTTTAGTAGTTTCTTACAAAACCAAATATATTACTACCATATGACCCAGCAATTGCATTCATTGGTATTTATCCCAGAAAAATGAAGTTTTGTGTTCACATGAAAACCTGTACCTGAATTTCCACAGCAGTTTTATTTGAATAAACAAACACTAGAAGCAGCCCAGATGCTTTTCAACAAGTGACTGGTTGAACAAGTTGTACATCTGTACCAACTAATACTACTCAGCAATAAAAAGGAACAAACTGTTGATACATACAGCAACTTGGATGAAGTTCCAGGGAATCATGCTGAGCGAAAAATCTTAAGAGGCTTTATACTGTATGATCTCATTTATATAACATTTTTGAAATGACAAAATTTTAGATTTGGCATTGCCGTTAGTTATGTATTGATAGGGTGAAGAGGGGATGATGTGGGCAGGAGAGGAGTGTATTATAAAAGGGCAACAAGAAGGATGTTTTTGGTGGGACTATACAGCGTCTTGATTGCGATAGCAGATGTATGAATTTGCTCATGTGATAAAACTTTATAGAACTAAATGCACATACACACACATGAATACAAGTAAAACTGAAAAAATATGAAAAAAATAGGTGGATTATATCAATGCCAATATCCCGGTTGTGGTATTCAGTGCTGTACTGTACTATACATTAATATACTAAGCCATACTGTAATTTTACAAAGTGTCACTACTGAGGGATATTGGGTCTATTGATCTGTGTCTATCCTTCAACAGTACCAATCTGCTTTAATCACATTAGCTATATAGTAAACCTTAGTATCAAGTAGAGCGATTCCTCCCACTTTATGCTTGTTTGTCAAGATGATTTTAGCTATTCTAGGGCCTGTGCCACACTATATAAATTTTGGAATAAGCTTGTATATGTCTATAATAAACCTTACTGTGATTTTGATAAGAATAACATTAGGCCTATAGATCAATTTGTGAAGGATTGACATCGTTGTTATGTGGAGTCTTAAAATCCATGAACACTAAATGTTTACATTTACTTAGGTCTTCATTGATATTTTGCATGCCATTTTGTAATTTTCAGTGTACAGTTCCTATACATTTTTTTAAACTATATGCCTGAGTATTGCAGTTTCTTTGGAGTGATTGTAAATAGCATTGCGCCTTTAATTTCAGTTTCCACATGTTCATTGTTTCTATATAGAAATGTGACTGATTTTTTGTGTTACTGATGAATCTTGTATCCTGCTAATTTGCTCAATGTACTTTTTATTTCTAGGAGACTTTTTTTTTTTTTTTTTGGTAGCTCTCTTAGAGTTCACTATGTAAACAATATTGTTGTCTCTAAATAGAGACCTTTTTATTTCTTCGTATTCAATTTGTATGCCTTTTTTTCTTTTTCTTATTTTATTGCAGTGGTTAGAACTTCCTGTACTATGTTGAATAAGAGTGGTGAGAGTCCACACCCATTTTCCAGATTTTATGGGGAAAACATTCAGTCTTTTACTGTTCTGCAATGTTAGCGCTACATTTTTTGTTGACTCTAATTATCATTTGAAGGTGTTCCTCTCTATTCCTAATTTGGCTTATTTTATTTTATCATGGATGGCTGTTGGATTAACCTAGTTTTAAACCCCTCTTTTTATCTATAAAATCGTTACAACCACAAAATACAGTAATTTGCAGGATGTACACAAGTCTAACATAATATAAAATAGCATGGCACAACATAGTATAACAGAACATAAAAGACACTGGTAAAATCAGTGTAGGGAAACAACAAATGGAAATCATAAGCAGATTCATAGGGGAAAACTAAATTGATTCTTAACCAGACTTTATACACAAAGTTCATAAGTTTCTAAACACTTTCTGGAATTCCATCATGCTACAACTGAATTTGATTCTAATTTTTGCATCCCAAGGCTGACATTGGCTTCATCAAGACCGTCAACCTCTTTCAGGCAGCCTGTTTTATTCATACAGATATCCCCTGGCCAACCACATTACATAAGCATCAGCAAATGATAGCGTAATTTAATTAACTTACTTTCAGTTCTTTCATTAACTTCATGCCTGTCCATTTACATCTACCTAAAGAGATTCAGGTTTCAACTTGTAGTCAGGTAAGGGTGTTTATGTCAAATACATCATCTTTAGCACCTTTGATGTTAATCTTGATTCCAAGTTTTCTCTTAAAGCATCATAAAAATCTACATCTACGTCTTTACGGTATTCTCAGTTAGGGTTTGGATCCCAAATTGGCAGAAGAATGACACCAGAGTCCTTTCAGATCGCAAAATTGCTGGTGTGTTAAATAATTAACTTTGACCACAGCAAGTTCACAAAATTGTTGTCATGTCAAGTAGTCTTCTAGCTACTGAGTTGTTTTTGTTGTTGTTGTTGTTTTCCCCCCTCAGAAGATACTTGGTATATGGGTCTCCTTTGAGAGTAAGAGGGGGAATTGTAAGAAATCTGATTCTTTCTTTAATACAGCTGACTGATTTCCCTTCTTCAACTTTGGTGAATACTCTCAATTAGGGTTGTTCATGTGAACTATTAAATTATTACAGCTTCTAAGCTTTTATGCATCAGTTATCCATGGAAGAAATTAACATACCTTGTCACTATAAAATTGTACCGTTAATGAGAGCCTGAGTACAAAAAATTACCCACAAGTGTACTATAGCTTTTAAGAACCTGTGCTTCAGAGTCACACAAACCTACATCTGGTCCTTTGCTCCCAAAAGTTGCTTTCTGACCTCAGAAAAGTTACCCAGCCTCTCTAAGCCTCCATTTTCTCTGTTCCAGTCTAGTAGAAAATAGGTTCTGCTTTATTAGGTTGTTTGAAGATTAAATGAGATCATCCATGTAAAACACTGGCACAGTGTCTGGCCCATAGGGGTAGTATAAATGTATAATGTTGGCCATTATTATTTCTAGAGTCATTTAAGATTTTTATTACAGCTTGGATGTAGTAAAGAGTTTGAAGTGTTTTCCATAAAATGTGAGTACCCCTCCTGACTGTCCATACTGTGACCTTTATGTACACTACAGACACGCGTTCTTACTAATTGTTTTGACCTTAGCGAAGTTACCTGGATGTGATCTGTATTACAATTGTGAACATTAAATGTATGTTGTATGTAAAATACCCGGAACAATACCAAGTACATTAACACTTAATAAATGTTAGCATGCTGCTTCCTTTGCTCTTCCTTTCCTTCAGAGATCATTATTTCATTCAAACAAAACCAATCAGATAGTGAAGTAGGGAAAAAGACCAAAAAAATAGGAGTAAAATTAAATTATATTCATTTTCCCATTGTAAAAACCACTTATTTAATTATGGCTCATGATGTTCATATTTCTCACAAACATTAATTCACATATTGACATATCATAAAACCAAAGATTTATCCTAATAAAGGCTAAACCAGTTGTCAAATGTTTTCATAACCTGATCTTATTGACCTTACCAAATTAATGTTTACTTAAATCTCATTGGAATAGGTGGTTTTATCTTCCCGAGCAACTTCACACAGCAGTGTTTCTTTTTAAAATTTTTGAAGGAATTGGAAAAAGCAGAAACAAAAACAGGCCGGGCACGGTGGCTCACATCTGTAATCCCCCAAAATTTAGGAGGCCAAAGCCAGAGGACTGCTTGAGGCCAGGAGTTTGAGACCAGCCTGGGCGACATACAGAGACCTTTTCCCTACAAAACCCTTTTTTTTTTTTTTTTTTTTTGAGACGGAGTCTCGCTCTGTCGCCCAGGCTGGAGTGCAGTGGCCGGATCTCGGCTCACTGCAAACTCCACCTCCCGGATTAACGCCTTTCTCCTGCCTCAGCCTCCCGAGTAGCTGGGACTACAGGCGCCCGCCACCTCGCCTGGCTAGTTTTTTGTATGTTTTAGTAGAGACGGGGTTTCACCGGGTTAGCCAGGATGGTCTCGATCTCCTGACCTCGTGATTCGCCCGTCTCAGCCTCCCAAAGTCCTGGGATTAGAGGCTTGAGCCACCGCACCCGGCTGCACAAAATACTTTTTTGAGAATTGGCAAAGCATGGTGGCATGCACCTGTAGTCCAAGCTGCCTGTGAGACTGAGGCGGAAGCATCGCTTAAGCCCCAGAGTTTGGGGTTACAGTGAGCTATGACTATGCCATTGCACTCCAGGCTTGGCAACAGAGCAACGCCTTCTCTCAAAAAAAAAAAAAAAAGACAAAAAAATTGTTAATTTTTAGCAAAATAATATGTTACACTATTTTAGCTAAAAGATCTTTCTGTAGAAGACTGTTGTATTGACACATAATTGAAATGAAAATTTCTGACTCCTTTCATATCAGAAATTCTGCCTTAATCCTTCTTATTGCTTGGTATTTGAGGTGCTGTTGTTCACTGTTTTAGGAAAGGAGTGTTCCCAGGATGAAAGCACAGCTGCTGCCATCTTCACTGTTCAGATGGATGACTATTTGGGTGGCAAACCAGTGCAGAATAGAGAACTTCAAGGATATGAGTCTACTGACTTTGTTAGCTATTTCAAAGACGGTCTGAAATACAAGGTAAGCAGCTCCCTCACTTTCCATTATGAATCCCTTTCTCCTCTCGTCCATCCATACCTCCTGTCTTCATAGAATGACAGTTCATTGAGGGCACAGTTTGTTTTTTGTTGTTGTTGTTTTAATCTGTTTTGTTCGTGGATATATCCCCAGTACCTGATGAATACACAGTAGGTGCTCAGTAAATGTTTGTGAAATGTGTGGTACAATACGTGAAATATTGTGACAATTTAATTTGATAGCTTAATTTTTTAAAAGAGCTTTCAGTTATGTCTTCACAAGACAACTTTTTAATATTTTGTAGCTATTTCAACATTTAAATTTTGGTAATTTGGGTCTTAAAAGTTTTCATTTTTGCTATTCTAGAGAATCTCTGAAGTTTCCGCAAGTAACCGAAGCCTTCAAAATCTCAGTTGTTCTGGAATATATTAATAGAGTATTTATAATAATTATAATTTTAGTTACTGTAAAGAACTATACATGTATTTCCAAAATAGTGTGGTTTGATCTTAGAAGGGATGCAGATGAAACTTTTGAGCTGAAAATTCTGCAGGTAAACTACACACACGCACATACACAGTTTACCCACACTGGTCTGAAACACTGATCAATTGGCTTTACTTCTGAAAAACAAGAACAAATAGTTAAATGGTTCTATCCCTTTAAGGCAGCCTTCAGTATAGGACAGGGTTTTGTCTTTTGTTTGTTTGTTTGTTTTGTTCTTTTTTTGTCATTCTCCCAGTTATCTTTCCAGACTGGTCCTCCCTTCACCATTCCTGCCACCCACCCCTCCACGTGTGTTCAGTTCACGTGTGAGGAATACCCTCCCCAGACAAACGTCACAGATTTCCGAAATCAAACACGCTCCAGCAAGTGTTCTGCCCATCCCGCTGCCCCGCCTTGTCAGCATGCTACCCTAGTGAAGACCTGAAACCTTAGAGCGTCACTACAATTCTGACTGTAATACTAACTCCACTTACTAAGATGGCAAGGCTTATTTACACCTTTACCTGTTCAGAGTCTTAGTTGAATATTTTGTGATACTATTAAGATCAGAATAAAACACTTATACATTGTAGGTTCTCTTATGTCTCTTGAAATCATTTTTTTTTTCCTAGGCTATGAACTACCCTAAATACAAAACTATTACCTCTCATTTTATTTGATTCACATGAGCTCCTACAGTTTATGACAAATTATACTGAAACTTCCTTTATGTCAGTGAACTCAACATTTTAAATAAGTTGAGTCTTGTGGTTACTAAAAGCAGGTGCTGTGACACCATCCTAGTTATGGACCCATTTCTGCCACATATGATGTTTTTCCTTTAGGGAAAATACAGAGCTTTCTGTGCTCAGTTTCCCCAAGCAATAAATATTATAACAACTTCCTCATACAGCTGTTGTATTAAGGAATAAATTAAATAATAAAGTAACTGTGGTCGGGCGTGGTGGTTCACGCCTGTAATCCCAACACTTTGAGAGGCCAAAGCAGATGAATCACCTGAGGTCAGAAGTTTGAGACCAGCCTGACTAATATGGTGAAATCCCCTCTACTAAAAATACAATAATTAACTGGGCGTGATGACATGCACCTGTAATCCTAGCTACTAGGGAAGCTGAGGCAGGAGAATTGCTTGAACCCAGGTGGCAGAGGTTGCAGTGAGCCGACGTCATGCCATTGCATTCCCGCCTGGGAGACACGAGTGAAACTCCATCTCAAAGCAGTAGTACATAGATGAAAACTTGTATTTATTTAATTATATAATGCTTAGTTTATTCAACCAAGAAATGTGGCAGTCGTTGTAAAATTATGGAGTAGGAAATCATTATATAAATATTTTTTTAATTTGAGGTTTTAATTGTCCTGAAATTAACATTTAATCTATACCAACTTTTCTTGGAGAATGGTGGAAATTTAAAGTCAATGGAAAAGAACGTGCTAATGACAAATTAGCTCTAATTTTCCTTACCATTATTATAGAGGTCTTTAATCTATCAGCGACAGTTTTGTTTATTCTGCTGCTCAGTTATGCACATATAATTAATTATAATTAATTGTGGAAATAAGGATATGGTTCATATCATTTAATTAGAAAAAATGAAAAGGTAAAAGATGATTGCAAATAATATAAGAAGATGTAGTTGATACAGTTAATATTTTTTCTTAAGCGTTTCTTTAATTCAGTGTGATTGTATTTCATTTTATTTTGTTTTGTTTTGGCTGGGGATGTACAGTCAAGATATTGCATCTCTCCTAGCTTACAGTAAAAACACTCAGTCCTAGCATATTTATTAATAGTAAGACCTGTTTACCAGAAAATATAGAAGACATTTGATTACTTTAAATGTAAAAACAAGGACCATACATAAGATCAGCCCATTCCTGGCCAGCACTCAATAACCGTCTCTGCCCCAACCCTGTACCAGTGTGAACTTTTGGGTGCCTTCTTCTCTGGCTGCTGTCATCTGTACGTGTTATCTCTGATCCTCCTCTAGCCACCTGTCACCTTCTTCCCTGAAGTGTTTGCCTTCTTGCTCATTAATGATTTGGGGATCATTAGTGTCCAAAGGGCAAGAGCTATGGCTTCTTCTTTTTGTTTTTGCAGCAGCGTTTTATACACTGAAGGTTCTCAGTAAATACTTGCAGTTGTCAATTGAATGGTTGAAACAGAAAGAATAAAGAGACCAAACAAACACAATCTGTTGATTACCAAGGGGTTCTCTCTTGTCTTATGGAATAGGTGGCTATTTTAACTTGGCCTGATGGTACAGTTTTGACACAAACACCAGCCGTATTATTGTACTTTGCTTTGTCTAGGTAGACACCTCATCAGTTTTCTCTTTGTTTTTTGTGTGTCTTCCCTCCATTCATCAGGCTGGAGGCGTGGCATCTGGATTAAACCACGTTCTTACAAACGACCTGACAGCCAAGAGGCTCCTACATGTGAAGGGTCGTAGAGTGGTGAGAGCCACAGAAGTTCCCCTTAGCTGGGACAGTTTCAACAAGGGTGACTGCTTCATCATTGACCTTGGCACTGTAAGTTTCATATACACATATCAATGTCTAAAGAAAAGTGAATTGCTTTCAGATCAAATCATATATACATGTCATTGAAAAGAATCACTTTTTCTACACACTGGAAAGGGGCCACGTTTATGTGAGATGAATAATTGCCAAGTATTTAAATGACGCATGAAGTGAGACTTCAAAGGTTTTTCTTTGATAGGTTTAGAATAGTGATTTAGTTCTTCCTACCATAGAACAGATATTGACTGATTTTTAATACGTTTCCCCTTCTCTCTGAACAGAGCTTCCTCTAATTATTTTTGTCTCTAACTGTGCATGGGAAAACATAGCTTGAGGGGGAAACTGGTTCTCCCAGCAACAAAAGGTTCTAGAATATAATATGGACATAAGATGAATCTAAACAGCCACCTAAAGAATTGTAAAGATGTATTTTGACATACATATACACACACATCATACCGTTTCACACTTTTCAATTAGCAGACGTACAAATATCAAGTATCATCTTAACAGCATGGGCAATGGTATATTATGTCTGACTTATGTTTTCTTCCTGGAAGACGCTCCTCTAATATCAGGTATATTTATTAATCATTATTGTCATGACAAAGAAGCATTATTGCAAGACCCTCTGCTAGACTCTAGAAGGTAGGATATAAGTTGTATCTTTAAAACTTTGTTAAGTTTTATAACAGAAATAAAGAGCATTTCCCTCCGCTGAAAAACCATGTGCAAAAGCAATGAAAGCAAGAAAGCACAGAACTTACAAGGATCTCCTCTTCCTGCTTTTCATTATCATAATTTTCATCGCACCATACATCTCAACATTCTAATTATCATTCCTAACATTGCTGGGCCAAACGTTATAACAGAGTCATGAGCTGACCTGCATTGCTTCAGTTAGCATGAGGCTTGTATGTGGAATTTGCTCAAGGTTGCAAAGTCAGTAAATGATGAAGCCAGGATTAGACTCTCAGCATATCTGATGTCCCACTAAGCTTTTTGTTTTATTGCATCTACTTGGGCAGTATTTTGGGATAAAGCAGTAGACAGAAGCCAAAAGAGCTTATTCCATTGGCATAGAGGAGGGACACAAAGGATTCTGAAAATAGAGTTACAAAGTTCTGTTTAAGCAATATTAATTTAACAACAGTACAGAGATTAAGTGTACTAAGGTTATACATTGTTTGGAAAATGACCCCAAGATACAAACTGCATCAGTTTCTTTAAGTGAGCGTGCATCTATAGTTTTATTACTACTTATACATAATCCAACTGTCTTGGATCATACCAGCTTGTGTGCAAAGTTGAGATCGCAATAATATAAATGCCCAAAGTACAATTCTTAATATTACACGTAGACATCTACACCCTAAATGGCAGTACTTTTGCCCTGAATCTCACAATAAATTTCATGGGAAAGTCCTTTTCAACTTCAATAGCTAATTCATTCTCCTAACAGATTTAAGTCCTGACTTTCAGATCTAGGCAGAATACATATACTATTCCACCCTTTCATTCTCCCCTCCCGCCGCCACCCCCTACGCTATAAATAAAGAAATAAATAACTCGTGCGAATAAATGTCTACAGCCACACAGTTCCAAAAGCAGTTGCACCATTCAGTCTCTCAAACCCTATGCACAATAATTTTCTATCTCAACTTTCATCTCCACCATTTACACTCTAAAGCCCTTTGTAATATATAAGTGCTTTTGAAAATAAAATGGCATTTTTATTAGAAAAAGGAGACCTCAGTTCTCATTCCAGTTGCTGTACTCTGAGGTTCTCATCTGTAAAAGTAGATATTCAATTAGGTGATCGTGAGGGTCCCTAAACAAGAAGGACGCTTCCCAATGATAATGTAATTAATTACTGCCATTACTTGTATTTCTTTTCTTAAAAAAAAAAAATTATTGTGTATAATGTAATTGCTATGTAAGTATAATAATCTATTCAATTATCATGAATAGCTTCCAGTTGAGCTTTCTAACTATCTGCTATGATCTTGGGCAACTCACTGTCTCTGAGCCTTAACTTCCTCATTTGTTTTTACATCTTGAGTCTGATTTCTAATGCCACTTTTATCCTTAGCTGACTATGATTCAGTCTCATCTGACGCACAGTCACATCTGGGAAATGGCAGTTATCATCCCAGTTTCAAAAGGGGAAACAAAAGCCTTAGGCCTTAGAAGGTATGTACAAGTCACTCTACATTCATACCAGTTGCGTGGTGACCCAGAATGGGGCCTGGTTTTTCTATTCCTACTTTACATTCTTTTCATGGCACTAAGCTAACTTGGTAGTATATTAGATAGTATGGCCTGGTAATAGAATGTCTTGCGATAGTTTCAGAATCTGCTGAATTCAAACCTGATGATGCCTAATCTACTGAGATTCCACTGAAAGCAGTAGTATTCACTAAATCATTTATTATTTTGCGGAACAAATACAGAGTTTCCACTATGGGCCAAGTAGTTGGGTGTGGTGGTAGACAGGTTGTAGTTCTTAGGTCATATACTCTTTTCTCATAGTCAACCTGTGGGAGTATGACCCACAAATCCAGGTTCATGTAATAGGGACAGAGTCTCTATTATAAGGTTCCAGGGCATTCGTCTATTTAATAGTAAGTTATTTTATATAGTTAATTATCTTTAATAACTTTCAAGTTCTCTTCTCCCATGCCTTGTAAAAGAGATATATGCAATGAAAGATATTTGTTGCAGAGGTACTGGTGCTTGGTTATCTGTTATATTCTGGAATTTTCCTATACACAAAAGGGATACCCTGGTGAGAATCAAGCACCAGATTCCTACATAATCTACAATAAATACTTCCAAGATCTGTGTTTGTGTTATTAACCTTTAGCCAGTTGGTGTGTTGCCAAAAGTTTCTGAATGGTGATAAGATCTTGAACTACCTTGGCAGCTTTATTTTGGGGTGTGTCAGTAAACAAAGAAATACACGTAACTAAACTTTTCTGTACCATAATATTTTAATAGTAGTCGTTACGCTAGTTATTTAAAGACAACCTTCTGTGTCAGAGAGCCTAAAAGGATGCCAGTGCAGTTTCTTCAAGTTTGTATTATGACCCACGTATGAAAAACTTAATTTAAACATCCAGTTATCACCCAGCTAAGGCCACCTGGCCAAAACTAAGTTTATGGATATAACCTAAATCCCATACCTTGATCACATATCAGAGAAATCAGCTTTTTTGATCAACAGTCACTATTATTAATACGTTATTCCATTATCTCTTAGAAACATTTGTCCTTTTATTGAATTCTAAAGTATAGTAAATATTCCCAGACATTACAATATAACCTCCTCAGCCTGAGGCATAAGATAGTATAATTATCAGTTTAGCCAGTTTGAAAGGGAAGAAAATCATCAATATTTTGTGGAATGATTTAGACCCATTGTCTCATATTTAGCATATTTTTAGAAAGTAATATGAAACGTGGCTAGATCTTACCAATATATGGAGTCATTGGAAAAACACTTTTGAACAATATATTTTAAGGGTGGTGAATTTATTAGTCATGATTTTCCCACTATTTTTAAAGATATGAAGTATTTTTCGAAAATAGTAAAATTACATCTGAAAATACTGTAAAATACTTCGGTTAACTGCAGAATGTGAATGATAGTGGGAAAAAAAGCCCATATTCTTAAGATTTGGGGTCTGAGGTTAACTTTTGAAAAGGTATGTCACAGTCAGCCACTAGTGAAGAATTCGATTTCCCAGGAGTAGGAATTCCTGTGGTGAGTTACTGATCCTGATGTTCCCATGTTCTGTTTCCTTGTTGTTTGGTCAGTGATGCAGCTTTACCCTGTTCTCCTCACGATTTAGAATCGATCACGCCCTCTCCCATTGTTCAGTCATGCTGCTTTGAAAAAACGGTCTCCACTTCCTCATTTACCAGTCAGTCTTTAACCCACAGTCCGACTTTCACTCCCACAGTTCCTCGGAAACTGTTCTTGTTATGGGCATCGATGACCCCTGCTAAATCCAGTGGACACCATGACATTATGCACTTGATTCTTGTGTTACAACCCACACTGTTGACTTTTCCCAGCTTCTCCAGCCTCACTCCTCCCCTGGCTTCCTTGTTTTTCTCCCTTTCAGGCCACTCTTATGCTTCTTTGTATGGCCTGCCCACCCCTTCAAGTGCTTTTTTAAAGGATTTTAATTATTGTATCTTCTTTTATACATTTTTCCTAAGCAAACTCATCTCCACCCAGAGCTTCAGCTACTACCCATGAGTCAATCTAAACTTTCAATCTAACTCAGACCTCTTGTCTGAGCTCCAAGTCAATAAAATTTCAGATATTTCATGCCATGTGTGTCATAAGAACCTGAAATTCAACACGTCTAGAAAATGATTTCTTCTCTAATTGTCTTTATCTTATTAATGGAGCCACCACTCACTCAGGTTTTCAAAACCAAAATCCAGGAGTGATCCTGACAACTTCTCCTAAGGGCTTCACATTCATTTAATTGCTATCCTAGCCTATTCTACCTTCTAATTATCTCTTGAATCTTTCCTGTTCTCTTCATTGCTGTTGATACTGTCTTAGTACCCCGTGCCTGACACATTCCTTCAAGTCACCAGACTTTTGCTTTTGCAGATTGATTCCTTTGCCTAGAATACTCACCTCTTCTTTGGCACCTTTCTCCAGCAGGCATCCAATATTTTCTCATCCTTTGATATTCACTTCAGATATTGCCTTCTTCATAGTTTGTTTCCTGACCTTTTCTTCTGCTTCTCCTGTCCAGTGTCCCAGTTCTTTAGGGTCAGGTCTAGACTTAACTTTCCTGTCATTATGCAGAGACTTGCTTCTCAGCCTTTTCTATATTGCTTGTCTATTTACTTATCAGCGTTCCTCACTCACTGTGTTTCTGAAATATAAAGCCTAGAACTTACAACCACTCAACAAATGTTTCAACAAATGTATATCCATCCAGCATAAAGTATATGGCTCATGCAGTCACGTGTCTAGAGTG